AATTTACTTTACAACTACTTTATTTCACACAATTTACTTTACAACTACTTTATTTCACACAATTTACTTTACAACTACTTTATTTCCCACATAATTTACTTTACAACTGCTTTATTTCACACACAATTTACTTTACAACCTTTGAATGTGCCCCCCATAGAACTTGAAAGAAGACTGTGTAAACAAAGCAGTTAACCTATAATATTTCTATATATGGAAGATTAATGTCAGTCAAGATCTATTCAAACTACAAAGACAGAAATTTAACATTTTGTGAACTTGCAGATAAGAGAATAAAACAAAACTTTAAGAATTTTTCTGTTGAAATAAGGGCAATAAAACTTAGATAATATAAAACTTTGAAATATAAGGTAAATTTTAATGCTCATTTCATTGACAAACGTTGATCATAAAATAGCTTAATTAAATTTTAAACGTAACTAAGTAAAATCTTGTGAGATGCACAGAAAAGGGTGTCCTGTCCATAAGACAGGATTTATAGCTATAAAATTGGACTGAAACTTTATTTTATGAAAAGCTCATTTATAATATGAAGAGAAATATTAGGGAATATGCAAGAAACTACACAACAACTCACCCTCATTATGGGTGGCTTTACGCTGTTCATCTTTCACTGTTCTTGTAACATCTAATTTTGGACTACACTGATGTGTTCTTGGAGCTATCGTTCTTTGGCTTGGCTGTAGCACATCTTGAGGAGACATCATTACATAAAACTGCCCTGTAACAATATTAAAAATAAAGACCTTACAGAAAGGAAAATTATTACCTATTTATACTTCAATCCATTTGAATTTACTGTCAATACTTTTTTCTAGAATTATTTTTAATCCAAAAGAAACAATTGAGACTTTAAATTACTGAATTGTGAAGTATGACTTGCAGCCTTTATTAAACACTTGAATAAAAAAATATCTAAATTTTAATTCAAAAAGTAGCTACTACAAGAATGGACAGATAAGAGGTTCCAGTAAATTCAGTTTCTAGAAACCAGTCATCTGCAAATAGCTAATGACAAGCTTAGACACTCATCCTATGCACAAGAGAATAATGATTGAATGTAGGGCTGGAAATAATAAATTAAATAAAGAATTTATATTTGTTTACACAGTTTATTTCACACATAATTTACTTTACAACTGCTTTATTATACACATAATTTACTTTACAACTGCTTTATTTCACACATAATCTACTTTACAACTGCTTTATTTCACACATAATTTACGTTACAACTACTTTATTTCACACATAATCTACTTTACAACTGCTTTATTTCACACATAATCTACGTTACAACTACTTTATTTCACACATAATTTACTTTACAACTACTTTATTTCACACATAATTTACTTTACAACTACTTTATTTCACACATAATTTACTTTACAACTACTTTATTTCACACAT